TAGGTGAAGGTAGTGGTGATAATCCTAGAAGGGACAAACAGACAGGGCTTCAGGAGCAAGTTCAAAGTCGGAATCCAGAAACAGTCCAAGGTCAAAATCCAATGATCCAAAACACGCGAAGGCAAACTACTAGGAGTCAAACAAGTATGAGTGGCAGGCGTTACCAAAACTGGAGTAATCATCCGGCTTAGAGTGGTGTCTCCATCCTCCCTTTAAACCCGAGCTCCTAATGATTAATTCGGCACAGCTGGTACCCCTCCGCTCCTCACCCGTGGAACACAGAACCTCAAAGGTGGTTAATTGAGGAGGAGCACTCACCTCGTCACGAGAATCATGACAGCACTATGTCACTGTGTTGGTCTGCTGATGCCTGCTTGATCTTAAAAATCATTACAGGCAACCAAATAGCGAGACATGACATGCTGATAGCCAGGCTAGCCATATATGGTTATGCAGAAAAACATAATTTTTCTTCGGCTATTGCCTGTCTAGATTTCTAGGCTAATATGCTGATTCAGTGAACTATTAAATACAATAAAATTATATATATTGTTGTTGTTAGCCTCAAGGGCAACATGCCGATTATCACTTGTAAGTCCCTTTGGACAAAAGTGTCTGCTAAATACATAAACATAAACATAAAATTATTTAAGGAGCTTAATTCTCCATCCATCCATTTTCAGCCGCCTTACTGGGGTCGGGTCGTGGGGCAAGCAGCCCAAGCAGAGATGCCCAGGTTTCCCTCTCCCCAGCCAGTTGGGCCAGCTCCTCTGGAGAAATCCCAAGGTGTTCCCTGGGCAGCCGAGAAACATAGGCTGTGTCTCAATTCAGGGTCTGCATCCTTCGTCGGCCGGTTACGTCACAGCGCCGCGACTAGGCCTGTCCCAATTCGAAGACTCCTTCAAATGCGGTCGACGAATTCGGCCTTCTTTTCGCCTGAATGAAGGATGGGTCCGGTGTATCCTTCAATGGTTGACATTTCCCAAGATGCCTTGCGGGCCGGATGGTAGAACGTTTAAAAACAATGTCGGACAGTGAAGCGGGAGCTGTCGGAGAGGATTGCGCATATAAATGTCAGTATAAACTTGAAAACTGTTAGGTTAAGGGCTTTTTGTGATACATGAACGTTATTTTAGTTAGAAATGTTACAGTAAAAGTGCTTGTATTGCGGTCTCGGCTCGTATGTTCGGCCGCTCGGTGTCGTACTTCTCCCGCTACGTTTTCCCCTGATTTTAATAGAAGTTTGTATTTTAGGGACAAAAGAGAAAACCAGGGAATTTATTAAGCTTAGGGCGGAGATGGACCACATGATCACCGGAGCAAAGTATTCGGCGGCTGTGGCATGGAGGTACAATAACATCTCTTATTTTAAAAACTCGTTTGAGTTTATTTTTTTCTGCGAAAACATGAAAGGAATAACCCGTTGTCCTCTTTTCTCTTCCTGTTTCTTTTCTTACATGTTTGTTAAGACTATTCTGGAGAAAATGGGCATCCAGGGGAAGGTGACAGCGATGACCAGCTTCTGGAGCTGATCAGGGAGGACATGAGGCTGCAGAGGGAGGCAGAGCAGCAGAGGGCACAGGAGAGAAGGGAGAACTTTGACAGCTTTTTACTTTGCTAGAAAAAAAATGGTTAATAAAGATTAAACATGTACATATAAAATAAATATCTAAATAAAATCAGTTCTGCATTAAACTCTTGAATTTTATTTTGTTTACAAATGAGAATGGTTTACTAGAGGGTATCCGCTGGGTCTTGAAAGGTGATAAATCGGTTTTGGTCAAATTAAGACCCTTAGAAAGTATTAAAAACTATGATCACATCTTTGCTCAGGCTCAGCTTGTCGAAAGTATTTTCTCTGAATTAGCTCTCCAACAGTCAAGGAAATGATTAAAAAGCTAAATAAAACTTCGAGCTCCATCGTTTAAAGTTCCTTCTCCCTTCTGCTCAGCGGTTCCACGGTTGCTAGGCGACGGAACGTTCGCCGAGGGAGTGGCGGGAATTCATGAAGGCTAGGCCTGTCCAAATTCACAGCCGTTAATATCCGGTCTACTCGGCCGACGGAGGACCCAGCCCACGTCGGCCGAGTAGGCTGGGTCCTTCGAAGGATGCAGATCCTGAATTGAGACACAGCCATAGTCTCTCCAGCGTGTCCTGGGTCTTCCTTTAGGTCTCCTCTTGGTTGGACGTGCCTGTAAAACCTCACCAGGGAGGCATCCAGGAGGCATCCTAACCAGATGCTCGAGCCACCTCAACTGGTTCCTCTCAATGTGGAGAAGCAGCAGATTTACTCTGAGCCCCTCCCGGATGACTGAGCTTCTCACCCTATCTCTATGGGAGAGCCCAGTCACCCTGCGGAGAAAACTTGATTTAGCTGCCTACTAGAGACCACTGCAGATGTGCTGAAAAAAACAAGTGAACTTGGTCTTTAAGGTTTTTCTTTGTTAAAAAAAAAGCACAGGAGTTTTAAAATAAATATATTTTATTCTTTTGCCAGGACAGTTCATGATAAAGGTAAACAGTGTACGAACATGGGCAGCATATGTTACTATGCAAGGACAACTTGTCAGATGGAGGGCAGAACATGTAGAAGCTCGTGCCTTGGTTGTGTTCATCCTTTAGGGCGGAGCAGGGGTCGATAGGAGACATCAGCAGCCTTTATAACACTGTACATGTGAGGTTCTGGTTCTGATGGGAAAGGCGACACTTTGTGATGGTACTAACATCTTCAGGAATACAACAAAAAGATGCCGGTAAAGACTCACAGTCAGGATTGCTGGCCACTGGTTCAAGTGGTTTGTGCTGGACTGAACCCAAAGGGTGGAGACGGTCTGGGTTCCTTTACCACCATAGGTCTGTATGTTTAGTGCTACTGCTTTATCAGTACACTCTTCATGTCAGCATCATGGAAGCTGCATGGCGTTAGCACGATGCTCTTCTAACCCTTAACCAGAAGCTTTTAAATAACACGACTTTAAACACTAAAGCCGGTATCTCTCTGGTCTCGAGATGAATGGAAAGGCAGCTGGAATCACTCTGAACTGGAGTGATGAAAGTCAAAACTCTTGAGTTTTTATTTTTGTGTGAAAATGATTCCTTTTCTCAAACAGAGTGAGGCCCTGCAACTCATCAGGAAATGTAAAAATCTTGCTAATGTTTTCAGACATTTTGTAAACTTCTTTTTAAATGTAATTCATAGCTGGACACCAAAAGTCAACAGTTTCTCGGTTAATTTATCGGTTACAACCACAGGTTACAACACTAACGGAAAGATTTTTGTTTTTCAGGGTCGAATGAGATTTACGAGGCAAGCGTGAAAAATGTAGACAGTCGTGCAAATATGAATTAAGTGTCTTAATTAAACCTCAATTTATTTTGATTGGTGCCTTATCCCGGTTTCTAGGGTGCCGATACCGATTCCAGTATCGGTATCGGTAAATATTAACCGATACCAATGCAGTTGCTTGAAAATGGCTTCACTGTAACTTGTCATTTCTGTTCACCTAATATTTTAGTTTGGTGATGATTTCTATTCATATATTTTACTTTTTATCCACCTCGCATTCTTCTCCTGTTGAAAGCAAAGATAATAAAATCTGTATTCCAAATCATTGCATTTTTTGTGTGTGGTAGAAGTATCCGTATCGGTAATCTGTATTGGCGAGTACTCAGATCCAAGTATCGGTATCGTATTGGTTTGGAAAAAAGGGTATCGTTGCATCCCTTCTGGTTTCCTTACTTTTTTCTCTCCCAAACGTCTGAAAAGTGTACAAAATCCCAGAGACATGAGTTTGAGGCCCTACAACTGAGAACCCTCGAGAACATGAAGACATTTTAACAACACACTCACTAAAACACTACTCCCTCAGTGGGGTCTCAGGGAGCTGGTGCCTAACTCCAGCAGTCTCCAGCTGACAGCCCTATGGTCTCCAGTGCATTACAGGCAAACTAGAAAGTTGCAGGTTTGAATCCCAGCTGCACTGCCTTTCTACATGGAGTTGGCACACTGTCCCCATGCATGCGTGGAGACACCTCGGCTTTCCATGTTTAAGTGTTGTTTAACATCTGAAGCGTAACATGCAGCAACTGGACGTGCCTGGAAAACCTCACCAGGGAGTCATCCTAACCAGACGCCCGAGCCACCTTAACTGGCTCCTCTCTTGTTTTACCAATAAAGTAAAAATATGTGATTGTGCAAAAACCTAAAAAGAACAGAAAATGAACCAGATTTTTTGCAGCCATACATGCTGCCATTTTTCTCCTGGCTGTTTTTTTCGCGTGCACAGGTGAAATCACGTGTGATCTTGTGACTCTCCAGTGATTTTGGGTTCTCACAGGAGCAGCGTGGATCGATGTTGCTGCCGATTTGCATTTGAAATGTTTGTGGTGAGAAGGGACATGCCCCTAAAATCGGGGGTGAAACGCATCTACCACGTTACACACCCAGTGAAAAGCTCGGGTTAGCATGTTCTCCCCAGCTTCCTGAGACCCGAATGATGATGAAGCAGCACAGATAATGAATGGATTGTTAAACCACCTAATCAGTAAATCATGTCGGGATTTAGCTGAGCTAAACAGTCCGTCACAGTTTGAAGTTTTCCAGGTAAAGTAATGACTCAGTAGAAATAATGAAATATGTTCCTTTAAACGTAAAAAAGGGTTGGGATGCAGGTGCATCGGTTTGGGTTTTTGGGGTTTAGACTGATTCTTGGTTCGTCATATTAGTCCCAGTCCAGCACATCCAGGAACCTTTCACCAATGAGCTGTCAGCTGATTGGGTTTGATTGACGACAGCTCATTGGATTCCTGTTTCAAGATGTTGGCATCAGCTCTGCTACAATAATCAGTGATGTCTTATGTTGAGGTGACTTGGTTGTCCGTTTGTCCCCTTCACCCTTCATCAGGTCCTCTTCATGTTTTACACAAGCTTGGTTCAGCTCTCTGTTACCTTAATGTTCCCAAGGACAAAGAACTGAGCATCGTTTTCACAGAGCTGCCAATTGGAATGCAAAGCACACAGCGTTTATATAACAGCCCCGCAGTGAGCTAGATACCAGAGTTTACAGTTACGTCGGTACAACATTCAACAGAACAGAATACAAGTAGTTCAGCATCATGGAGTCGAGTCCTAAAGGAGCAGCTCCTGCTGCATTCCAGCGCCCGAGGGCTGATGTGATGCTTCAGGGGCGGCTGTGGACATTCGTCAGCTGTGAAGGTTTAAGCTTAAAGGAAACACGTTAGACCAGATAAAAGACAGGAAACCAGCTCTCCATCTCTCACTGAGAGAAGCTTCCTGTCCCAGGAAAATCAACTCACTGCATATCAGTCCGAGAGGCCATATTATTCACATTCAGACAAAACCAAATCAAGAAAACATCCCTTATGATGTGGAGCTCTGACCCCAGATGGAATGTTTATGTGTCTCTGAGACCCAGAACCTGTCCGAACCACCAAAAGTTCTGCTGCTTTACAGAACAGGAACAACTCAGCTCACATTCAAGAAATTTACAGTTTAAAATTATGCCCTCAATATGATAAGTCATGAACTGTAGGTCTTCATTACTCAGTGACTCCCCAAATGGTGTCTGGTTTAGGCCCCGCCCACACCACTTCTGGTAAATCTCTTTCTCAACCTGAGCTGTTGGTTTTAAAGCTAGCTCCCTCTTCATTTGGGCCTTAAAAACAAAATAATGGAAACATTTTTAGTTTTTTTTTTACCCTGGTCCCCTTTCATCCTGATTTTGTCTTTTTTAACATTTCATCATGCATGTCATGAATTGTTCCCTAAAATGTTTTTAGAAAAGTTTGAGGAAAATTTAAAGCTAAGCTAAAAATGTTCTTCCTCTGTGCTTTGATGTGCTGTTAAAAAGGGTGCTCTCGCCACCTAGTGGTGGGAGCAGTCAGACATTTTGCTGTTTTTAACCACACCCAAAGTGGAAGACACGGTCCTACTCTGTCAGCTGTACCTTTAGTTTAGGTTATGTAGAGAACTATGACTTTTACTTTATTCAACATTGGCTTAAATCACAACACTTTAAGCTATTGCTTTAAAAATGGTTTCAGTGGTTCTTGAGCCGGGAACATGAGCAATTTCACCTGGGACAGCAGCCTGTAGCCCTCTGCTGGTCAGAAACTGCAATTAAAAGTTTTATTTTTTGGGTCGGAACACTAGTGGGAGGTCTCTACCTGCTTTATGGCAATAGCTTTTCACTGTGTTGGTATCATTTTGCCAACTATCAATAAAATGCACAAGAAAAAGACATTTTTGTATTTGTTGGCATCGTGGTAAAGCCTGGAGACAAAGCAAAGAGTTAACATCGGCGCAGCCCACACTCGTTTGAGGGAGCTAAAGGAGGCTATGAAGTCAGAGACTGATGGTGACCTGGCTTTGTTGTTAAAGGACATGTAAGTAATTATATTTTTTGTCCAACAATTTGGGTGTTTTAAATTTGTGGCTCATTTAGCATCATTTGGCTTGTGTTAAGTTTAGCTCATAGTTACCACTAGCTATAACACTGTTGCAGGGTTGTTTACAGAAGTTGTAATCCCATATTTCAACCAGTAGGAGGCAGAAGTGGGAAACATAAGTGTGTCTTTAAGCTGACTGCGTCTCATTTATATTTCACTTACAGTATTTCTCATTTTCTTGGTATCCAACTCCACCCAAAGGTTTCTCAGATTCCTCCACTCTCTGACCCAAAGAGAGCAAAATGAGGAGAGAGACCACGCTAAGACTCTTCTGACTAAAAATTTGCTTCTTGAACCTCTTCTAATTTCCAGTGACATAACACACTCCATGTGGGGAAACTGAGAACCCACGAGAACGCTTTACACATTTTGGAAACCCTCGTTTGAATCTCCTTCACAATTAGTCTCCACCAGTTGCATCCCAGTGAGATACTGGGTTTACTGGTCATGTTCAGAACCACTGAGCAGCAGGGTAGAGAAGGATCTGGGTCTGCAAAGAGAACACAACAGTGTGTTTGTGAAGGTTCATGGTCTAATGTGATCTTGGCTGTGGTTGAAGGCCACACTCTGGGGTCCGCTGGGGTCATGTTTGACTTTCAGCAGGTCCACCTCATATCTGTCAGTCAGATCAACTGTCCAAAGGGAATGTTCCCACAGCTGGAAGGGTGAAAGGTCACCTGGAATCTCCTTTAGCATCAGTAGAGCAGAGCGACCGCTGGGGTCTGACCCTGCGGTGTGCTTTCTGTGTTCCTGTACAATCATACCGGTCCTCGTGGTTTTAGGATTGCATTGCCCTCCTATGCCACTGATTCATACAAGACACTTCAGAAGAGAGGAGACTGTGATGTGGAGCTTTGTTCACAACGCCGAAACAGAACACACACTCATCAGACCGGCTTTGGGCTGCTGCGTCACAAGGCAGGTCAGCGGCTGTGGCTCTACTAACAGCTTTCTGACCGTCGATCAGCTCATGTTGCAGTGATGTCACGTCTAAAGTGCAGAGTGGAGATTTATTTAACACTTTAGCTCAGAGACGACACCAACATCTTGGTCCTGGACCAAAGCAGCTGATGACAACCCACAACAGGTTAAAGTGTATTTGTTATGAGAGCACATGGCCTCCATTCTATCTGAAAGTTTTAGTGTTTTCTAACTTCCACTTTTTTGTCTCTAGACAGCTGATTCTGTCCTACTCTCAACTCTGAGGGCATAACTGACTTCACAGTTTCACAAGTGTCCTGTTGTGATGCAGTGTTGGTCCGTTTGTGTGAACAAATTAAATGATTTTCTAAGAAGAGACTGTCTTCTGGAAAATTTTAATAAAGTGCAGCATTTCTGTCAGGGTGAAGTAAAAATGGCTGGTATGTCGTCGTGGTGAGTTAGATCCTAATCATCTCTGGATAATCTTGTGTTTGTCGGGCGTGGGCCGGGGTCGGGGCCGGGGCCGATGCTACCGGTCTGATGAGAGGGTTTCTGCTGTTGGCCTTTGCACCACCGGGACTGCAGAGACAGAGAACAGCTTTGCATTCTGGCCTTTTGGATGCATTCACGTAGTAAAAGACAAAATAACAAACAATTATAAATAAAGAGACAAGTATAAAATACTTGACTTAATGTCTGTGTGCAATAACATTCTAGATCACTTCTGAAGAACTTAGAATTAGTCCTGCTTGCTGTCTCACCTCAGAGAGAATATTTACCACAATAAAATAAAAGCACCAGAACATTCACCATGAGACGGAGTCCTGACCATACCATGGTATGTACAATGCCAACCAAATGAGATGAAACAGAGGAACCACGTATCAAACTCCCGTCATGCAGGTACGAATTTACACAGGAGACCTGAGGAGCATCATCTCTGGGTTCATGAGGGCCACGCCCATCCCTCTAAGTCCTGGTCCCAGAAAAACCCAGCGATAAAATAAGGAGTAAACACAAAGCACTGATCCTCGGAGGGCTCTGTATTTCTTTTCAGGGAAAGGATTTAGAGTAAGTTGGAGGAGGATTTAGAGCTTTTATGATGCCGAGCAGAGGAGCCTGGTTCAGACACTCCAGCTTCGTTTTGTGCAAAGGATTGTCAGAGTCTCAGAGGCCCCTCAGGAACCCCCTAGGGCTCATCGCTGGGCGGCGTGGCCGGGGGCTCCTCGGTATCCAGGGACCCCGGTGACTCCACCGGGTCCGTGTCCTTACTGCTGGGACTCGACCCAGCCTTGGCTGAAGTGCTGCTGTTGCTGCTGCTCTGGCTGTCCTGGCCTTCAGAGTTCTCTAGCATCTCCTGGATGAGTGGTGGCATGGATCCTGGAATCTCCATTTTCAGAGAGATGACTCGCTCCGCTCCTGCAGGACAATGGGGACAAAACGGACAAAGTGTTAATGAAACAGTTAAAGCCAGGATGTGTCTCAGCTGTGGCTGTTGGAGAAAAACTGGAAACTCTAAGTAGGAAGTCTCCAAACATTCATGCTGGTTCTCAGTTCTACGCAGGCTCTGACCACGCTGCCAAAAGCTCTTCAAACTACAGGAGATCCTGAGTTCATTACCTTAAAGTAACACTAAAGGGTTTTTAACACGTTAAGCTGTTGCTCTCAAACTGGTTTCAGTGGTTCTTCAGCCAGAAACTTGGGCAACTTCACATAGAACAGCATTCTGTAGCTGACCAGAAAGTGCTCTTAAAGGTGTGGTTCACTGAAAAATAATGTTAAAATCATTATTTCTAATTATAATCGTCACTCTGAGTTTTTCATGAAGGCTGATCATGAACACGGTCTTTTACACTTGTCTCCTGCATTAGCGTTTGATAGAAAATAGACGGTGAACCTCTAGGATTAGAAAGTCCTCACATACAGTGAGGAACATACCGTAATTTCCGGCCTACAAGCTGCTATTATTTCCCTGTGCTTTGAAGCCTGCGGCCAATATCATGGTACGGCTCATGTGTAGATTTTTGTTGGCCAACAACCACTAGAGGCACTCTCCAGCAGTAAAGTGAGACAGGCATGGCAAAACGTTATGCGCGGAAGAAGGCGCTCTTTGATTAAAAGCGGCACGTTTACACATCAGACGCACCCTCGTCATGGAAAACACGCGGAGGAATGCAAAGCTGCAGCTTTCAAGTTAAAAGCGATCGATCTGGCCGTCAGACAAGGAAATAGAGCCACCGCACGGGAGCTTGGTATAAATTAATCAATGGTGCGACGTTGGAGGCGGCAGCGGGAAGAACTCAGTCAATGTAAAAAAAAAAACGACAAAAGCTTTCAGAGGAAATAAAAGCAGATGGCCGGGAATGGAAAACATTCTTGAAGACTGGGTGAACACACAAAGGGCAGAAGGCCGAGGTCACGGTGTTTCCACAGTTTCCACTGTGCAGATCATTACTAACCAGGCATGTTTTGTGTGCAGTTTTAATTTTCTAATCATCCAGGGCTTATTAATGCCGTGTCAGCGCTGTTCTTTTCTTCTAAACATGCAAATGACCGGCAATAACGTGTCAGTTCTGTTTTTATTTCATAACCATCCAGAAATATGAATGCTATCAGTGCTGTTTTCTTTTCTAAACTTGCAGGCACGTTCACCCGTGTTTAAAATTTGTTTTGTTGAACTAAAACAACGACGAAAAACTTCCGTGTAGCGTCTTTCTGTCTAATTATCTTATGTTATGGCCGTACATGCGCTGTGCGCCGGAGACCTGCATGTGGCTGCTGCGCCGCGGCTTGTATTCGAGTGCGGCGTGTGTGTAGAAAACCTTTTTTTTTTTTTGCTGGTGCAGCTTATATTGAGGTGCGCTCTATAGTAGGGATGCACCGATGGATCGGCATTTGATCGTAATCGGCCGATAGCGCCCCTATCGGTTTTGATCGGAATTTTCAAAATAGATCAAAGCAGACCAATCAGGTAGGGTTTTCACGGTAACTAGTGTAGCGGTAAACCCCGGTAAAAAATAAAAAGTTGACAATAATAATAACTGTCTTGTTTTTTAAAAAACTATATTATCTTGGTGGATTACCGTGGCTGCGGTGTAGGCGCGGTGACCCTTACCAGCCACCGTATCATCTGCTGAAGTTGCCGGCAGCACATGCACGCTTTGTTTACAACAAAACTTTCTTGAAGCTAAAGATGAAATAATGGTCAAAGGAGGAGACGACAGCGCTCAGGAGGACATTTATTATCCCTCAAAGAAGACAAAGTCGGAAGTACGGGCATATTTTAGATATTTGAAGAATGCCGAGGGACAGTTGATAGAAGACGGCTATCCTGTTTGCAGCACATGCAGAAAAAGTGTCTGTGAAAGGCAGCAACGCTTCAAATCTCATGACACATCTGCGTGACCATCACCCACAACTCTGCAGTCAACGCAAGGCAAGCTAACGTTAGCGTTTTAGCTAAAATGCGTGATCCTAGGATTTGGGTTGAGGGAGAATGCAACGAGTCGCTATATAAAGCAGCCGCAGCGCCGCTACCTGCATATAAACCGTGTAGCGGACACCCCCATGTTGAACTGACGCTATGCATTACGGGGCTCCCAGGGGCAGATAAGAGTTGGTCTCTCTCCGAGAATAATTATGAATTTAACAACGATTACTGCCTGATGACATTTTCCCACATCTGCAAAGCTCACTGGAAGGACACAAACCGAGGACAATATTTTCCTGATATAGGGTTTATTACTCAAGTAAGGGTAAAAAAGTATCTGAGTAGAAGGCTACTTGAGTACTGAGTATCATCTGATCTAATATTTTTAAAATGATGACATCAAACAGACAAAAAATAAGAAGTTATGGGCAAATATTGCTATTTTAAAGACTAAAGGGGAAAAATGTAAACAAATAAACAACATAATTACAAAATAACACATTTTAGGCAAAATTTAGACACAAACTGAGGACAATATTTCCTGACATACAGGGTTTATTTAATTGTGTGAAATGTAGCACGTTTAAAAAAATACCGTGATAATACCGAAAACCGTGGTGATTTTGGTCACAATAACCGTGAGGGTAAATTTTCACACCGTGACAACCCTAATACAGACCATTTTAGAATAGGTTACATTTCCTTTATTCCCAGATTATGTAGTGTGTAGCACTCATTATAATGTTGTAGAAAATTTCTGGCCAATCCACGTGATCGGTATCGGTGATCGGTATCGGTGATCGGCAGCAAAAAATCTGATCGGTGCATCCCTACTCTATAGTCCGGAAATTACAGTAAGTATTTGAACACTTTGCAAGTTCTCCCACTTAGAAATCATAGAGGGGTCTGAAATTCACATTGTAGGTGCATTCCCACCGTGAGAGACAGAATGTAAAAAAATAAATAAATCAGGAAATCAGATTGTATGATTTGTAAAGAATTTATTTGTTTTGTACTGCTGCACATAAGTATTTGAACACCTGGCAATCAGCAAAAATTCTGGCTCTCTGCCTTTAAGAAGTCCACCTCTACTCCACTTAGTAATCTTATTTAGTAGCACCTGTCCGAGCTCTTTAAAGACACCTATCCACCCCACAGTCAGTCAGACTCCAACTACTACCATGGGCAAGACCAAGGAGCTGTCAAACGAAACCAGAGACAAAATGGTGGACCTCCACAAGACTGGAAAGGTCTACGGGGAAATTGCCAAGCAGCTTAGTGAAAATTGATCAACTGTTGGAGCAATTGTCCGAAAATGGAAGAGGCTAAAGACGACTGTCAGTCTCCCTCGGACTGGGGCTCCATGCAAGATGTCATCTCGTGGGGTATCACTGATGATAAGAAAGGTGAGGAATCAGCCCAGAACTACACGGGAGGAGCTGGTCAATGATTTGAAGAGAGCTGGGACCACAGTTTTAGAGGTCACTGTTGGTAGAACACTATGCTGTCACGGTTTCAAATGATGCATTGCATGAAAGGTTCCCCTGTTCAAGTCATCACCTGTCCAGGCCCATCTGCAGTTTGCCAATGACCATCTGGATGATCCAGAGGAGGCATGGGAGAAAGTCATGTGGTCAGATGAGAACAAAGTAGAACTTTTTGGTCCAAACTTCACTCGCCATGTTTGGAGGAAAAAGAAGTTTCACCCAAAGAACACCTTCCCTACTGTGAAGCATGGGGGTGGAAACATCATGCTTTGAGGGTGCTTTTCTGCGAAGGGGACAGGGCGACTGCACTGTTTTAAGGAGAGGATGAATGGGGCCATGTACTGTGACATTTTGAGCAACAACCTCCTTCCCTCGGTCAGAGCATTGAAGATGGGTCGTGGCTGGGTCTTCCAACATGACAATGACCCGAAGCACACAGCCAGGATAACCAAGGAGTGGCTCCGTAAGAAGCATATCAAGGTTCTGGAGTGGTCTAGCCAGTCTCCAGACCTAAATCCAATCAAAAATCTTTGGAGGGAGCTGAAACTCCATGTTGCTCAGCACCAGCCCCAGAACCTGACAGATCTAGAGAAGATCTGTGCGGAGGAGTGGGCCAAAATCCCTGTTGCAGTATGTGCAAACCTGGTCAAGAACTACAGGAAGCGTTTGATCTCTGTAATTGCAAACAAAGGCTTCTGTACCAAATATTAATACTGATTTTCTCAGGTGTTCAAATACTTATGTGCAGTAGTGCAAAACAAATAAATTCTTTACAAATCATTCAATGTGATTTCCTGAGTTTTTTCTTTTCTTTTTTACATTCTGTCTCTCACAGTGGGAATGCACCTACAATGTGAATTTCAGACCCCTCCATGATTTCTAAGTGGGAGAACTTGCAAAATCACAAGGTGTTCAAATACTTATGTTCCTCACTGTATCTATGTCACACTGTGGATTTGCATTCATAGCCTCGCCCATCTTGGCTCGTGCTCGCCCACAGCAAGGCTTTACATTTTTTTTCAGCAAGTGGAGGAGCGGAGAGTGTCTTGGTGATAGTGACTTTGCAACACGACTGAACGCATTCTGTTAGCCAATCAGAAGTGAGGTGTGTGCATATCATTAATAATAAAGAGCAATCCTGCTGTTTTCAGCCCACCTCTGCACCAGCAAACGTCTGCATCTCAGAACAGGGGCATCCTTTTTTTTAAACGACTCACAAAGCATTGATTTACACTAGAGAACACTGCGAATGTATTGAATAAACAAATAAACCACACTTTTAACAGTTTTGTGGTTCAGGTGGGAACACTAAAGGGAGGTTGTTCAACAGTGTGGATCTTTTTACTTTGTGGCTTATTTGGTATCAGTTGGCTTGTGTTAGCATAGCTTGCTGCTAGTGCTAGCTACAGAAGGCTGCAGCAGAGTTGTTTACGACAAAGGTAATTCTGTTTTCAACCAGTAGGAGAGACAAGGAGGAAACTTATTTAATGTTGCTTTAACCCTCTGAGAGCTGGGATGACCTTTAAAGGTAACCGCTTCCGAAATCTGGTTGAAATTTAAAAATAATAATTTGTCTTCCTCTGAAACAAAATAAAACTTAAAAAAAACTTTAAAAGGACTGTCTAAATTTAACCTTTCTGCAGATTAAAAAAACACCCAGTCTGGAGATCCAGATGCTGTCTTATCTGGCTCCTCTTCACTCTAGCTCTCCAGCCTACCTTTGGCGCTGATACTGCGCAGGTCGGTGATCTTCATCAAAGTTTTTGGGAACATGTGTGGTTTGCTGGGCCGGCGTTTCCTCACATAGATCTTCAGAGCCTCCAGCAGCGGCTCCTGGAGTTGGTCCACCTTGGAGGGCTCCTCCAGGTCCTGACGGTCTGACGCACACACAAAAAAATGGTAAATGGTCTGTATTTGTATGATGACTTCTAGGGTTCTACAACCCCCAAGGCTCTTCACAACACAATCAGTCATTCACCCATTCACACGCTGGTGATGACGAATTACAGCGTAGCCACAGCTGCTCTGGGGTGCACTGACAGAGGCGAGACTGCTGAGCACTGGTACCAAGTTAAAGTTCAAGTCGTCACACACTCTAGTGAGGTGAAAATTGCCCCCCGCATTTGACCCATCCCCGTGGGGTGTGATGAGCTGCGTACATGGCCGTACTTGGGAACAATCTGGTGGTTTAACCACCCAATCCCCCTTAAAGGTGAATGTCAAGCAGGGAGGGATTGAGTCCTATGGGTCCTATTGGGAGATAAACCCCAATCTCTCAGTCCCAGGGCGAACACTCTACCACTAGGCCTCTGAGCTGGTTTAGCCACCAGACCCTCCGACCACCACCAGCAGTCAAGGTGGGTGAAGTGTCTTGCCAAAGGACACAACAGCAGCAGCATTCTCTGCCAAGAGCCGGCACACAGGTGCATCTTATGACAAATTTATGAAACTTTCCAACAGCAGGATGTTCAACCAGCTGCTGCTCCAGCCGAAACGCAACAGGCTCCGTAGTAAAAGTCTTTATTGCTTCTGTGCTAAGGAAGTCTTTGGACAAAACATTGAGGAGTTTCGTTTACTTTCTTGCATCCATAACGAGAAAAGAGACGTGTGTAAAGCAGATCTTAATAATGGCCTGTTCAGCAGCTAGCCAGATGGGGGCAGTGTGTACTCTGAAATCAGCAGGTGCTGGGGTGTGTGATTTCACACACGAGAGGTGTGTTATGCATTTCATGGATTATGCAACAGGCTGTAACGTTGGCTCGGAGCTGCAGACGGAGTATAAATATAAATCCTGCAGTAAAAAAGGCTGAGCTCCAACAGGACTGACAGCTGTAAGGAGAGCGAAGCTGTGAAACTACACTAAATCTTTGTGCAGGTGTGTGTGTGTTTAGGTGTAGCGTAGGCAAATCGATGATTTTTATTTGTTATGACCAGGAAGATGTAATATTCTATGTAAATATAAAATATGAACCTGCTAGGTCTTTACTGTAATTATCAGAAGATCTAGGCTCTTTGCTTTTTCAGTGATCAACCACACTTCGTGTTACTTCAATAAAGAGTCAGGTTTATAAAAGTAAGAATTTATTTTACAAACAATTAAAACATGACTAATTACGTAAGCATTTACTTTGAGGGGATGTAACTAAACGTGATGAAGGAACCTATGTGTGAATGCGAAGTCAGTCAGAGCTTCCTTATCAAAGTAAGCTGAGTTCTGGTGAAAAGAATTTGGTTTGCTCTAAACTATAAAGATGTTATCATCAGAAGAACATCAGACGCGATCTGTCATGTCTACTTCACCCGTTTTGGAGAGACCCTCTTGGTGGATCCGAAAGTCGCAGGGGTCGGCTGACCGCTGGCACCGGAGGGCTGTAGAATACCGTGGTACAGACTCTTCAGTCCAAAGATGTCTCGGGTCACGACAGCTGGATGGAACCGTGCGTCTGACGGACTCTTAAGGAGTCTAACAATATCAGCTTTGTTTCTGCAGGAACTGTTTGCTCATCAGCTTTGCAGGTGCAAAAAGGTTTTGACGACGTGTCAAAATCTTTGATGGTTAAAGAGGTTTACTACAGGTGGCCGGCCTGAGGCGAGTCTCTAGACGGTGAGACGCCTGTAGACTCATGAGGAGTGGCCCGTATGACCATGAGGACTGTTGTCGGCATGTTTAAGAAATACGTGTCCTCTAATCACAGAGACTGGGATGTTAAGCTTCCGTTGGCCCTCATGGCAATATGGACAACTCCTCATGAGTCTACAGGCAGCTCCCCGTTTGAAATGATGACAGGTAGACAAGTGACCCTGCCGCTTCACCAGCAGTATCAGTCAGTTCAACCCAGCGCAGCTACGGCTTACACTAGCGAGCAGTATTTGCAGGACCTGAAGAAACTGTGTGCCTGCAGCATTTTCTTTTGCACAGACAAATCTGGAGAAATCAGCTGATGGCAGGAAGGCTTATTATATATATATATATATATATATATATATATATATATATATATATATATATGTTAAATATTATCACATCCACACGTTAAATGAAAATTAAATTGTAAAAAAAAAAAAATCTAATATTTACTTAGGGGTGCTATGGGGGTGCAATGACTAATCCAGGGGTAGCGATAGCGCCCCCCGGCGCAGCCACTGTGGCAATGGCATCAGGTTCAAATACTGTACTAATGCACATGGAGGCTAAAGGATTATGAGAAAATCCTAGAAATTCCCTGATTTTTTTTCTCTGATTTGTGTGAAATAACTACGATGGACTAGCAACCTGTCCAGGGTCTACCCTGCCTGCTTGCCCAAAGACTGCTGGAGATAGCCCCCCCCCAATCCCCATACATCTATCCCCAATGGGATAGATGTATGTATGAAATAAAACAGGTTATGTGATGTTAAAAGTTATAAACCTGTATATCATTAAATGATGCATGCATCTACATGCATGCAGAGAACATGCTAACTCCACAAATGCATAAGGAGGTCATGCTAATTCCACACATGCATGAGAGCATGCTAACTTCACATATGCATAAGGAGAACATTAACTCCACACATGCATGAGGAGAACATGCTAACTTCACACATGCATGAGGAGAACATTAACTCCACACATGCATAAGGAGAACATGCTAACTCCATGCATGCGTAAGGAGAACATCCTAACTCTATGCATGTGTGAGGAGAACATTAACTCCACACATACATGAGGAGAACATGCTAACTCCATACATGCATAAGGGGAACATGCTAACTCCATACATGCATAAGGAGAACATTAACTCCACTCATGCATGAGGAGAACATGCTAACTCCATACATGCATAAGGAGAACATTAACTCCACTCATGCATGAGGAGAACATGCTAACTCCACACATGCATGAGGAGAACATGCTAACTTCACACATGCATAAGGAGAACATTAACTCCACACATGCATGAGAACATGCTAACTCCACACATGCATAAGGAGAACATTAACTCCACACATGCATGAGGAGAACATGCTAACTTCACACATGCATGAGGAGAACATTAACTCCATACATGCATAAGGGGAACATGCTAACTCCATACATGCATAAGGAGAACATTAACTCCATACATGCATGAGGAGAACATGCTAACTCCACACATGCATAAGGAGAACATTAACTCCACACATGCATGAGGAGAACATGCTAACTCCACACATGCATGAGGAGAACATGCTAACTTCACACATGCATAAGGAGAACATTAACTCCACACATGCATGAGAACATGCTAACTCCACACATGCATAAGGAGAACATTAACTCCACACATGCATGAGGAGAACATGCTAACTTCACACATGCATGAGGAGAACATAAACTCCACACATGTATGAGAAGAACATGCTAACTCCACACATGCATAAGGAGAACATGCTAACTCCATGCATGCGTAAGGAGAACATCCTAACTCTATGCATGTGTGAGGAGAACATTAACTCCACACATACATGAGGAGAACATGCTAACTCCATACATGCATAAGGGGAACATGCTAACTCCATACATGCATAAGGAGAACATTAACTCCACTCATGCATGAGGAGAACATGCTAACTCCACACATGCATAAGGAGAACATTAACTCCACACATGCATGAGGAGAACATGCTAACTCCACACATGCATGAGGAGAACATGCTAACTTCACACATGCATAAGGAGAGCATTAACTCCACACATGCATGAGGAGAACATGCTAATTCCACACAAGCATAAGGAGAGCATTAACTCCACTCATGCATGAGGAGAACATGCTAACTCCACACATGCATGAGGAGAACATGCTAACTTCACACATGCATAAGGAGAGCATTAACTCCACACATGCATGAGGAGAACATGCTAATTCCACACATGCATAAGGAGAACATTAATTCCACACATGCATGAGGAGAACATGCAAACTTCACACATGCATAAGGAGAGCATTAACTCCACAAATGCATGAGGAGAACATGCTAACTCCAAACATAACTCCACACATGCATAAGGAGAACATTAACTCCACACATGCATGAGGAGAACATGCTAACTTCACACACGCATAATGAGAACATTAACTCCACACATGCATGAGGAGAACATTCTAACTCCACACATAACTCCACACATGCATAAGGAGAACATTAACTCCACACATGCATGAGGAGAACATGCTAACTCCACACATGCATGAGGAGAACATGCTAACTCCACACATGCATGTAGAGAGCATGCTAACTCCACACATGAATATAGAGAACATACTAAATCCACACAGGAATATAGAGAACATCCTAACTCCACACGAATGTAGAGAGCATGCTAACTCCATACATGAGTGCAGAGAACATGCTAACTTCACACATGCATGTGGAGAACATGCTAACTCCACTCATGAATGTAGAGAACATGCTAACTCCACGCATGAATGTAGAGAACATGCAAACTCCACACATGCATGAGGAGAACATGCTAACACCATGCTTGCGTGAGGAGAACACGCTAACACCATGCTAGCATGGAAAGAATATCCACATCTATGTGCTTCACAAGACTGAGATCTTACTTTTGTCATGGTTTCTTTGAACAGCTTTGTATGTTTCAGTTTTGTTTATTTAAAACAAATAACAGTGAATTTACATATTTATGTCTGACACCTTATAGTTTAGATATCCAGCTTTTACAATATCCTAGAAGATCACTTTTCTTCTTGTAGATCTTTACTTTTGTGATGTTGTGTTCCTGCAGCTGACCCAACCCCTCCCCAGCTTGCTCACCTCCTGAGATGAGACAGATGGCACTGAGGAGGCCCGTCTCCGTGTCGTCCATCTCGATGGGCAGCAGCTGGTTGGCAAACGTGAACACCAGGTCAGTGAGCGGGCCGAAGCCGGCGTTGTGCATCTGTGTCCGATTGAGGGTCAGTCCGTCTGAAAAGGTCATGGTGTCCTGGTCGGGAGTGTATCTTGTACAGATCCGTAGGATCTGACGGAGAGAGGGGGGTTAAAGTCAGGTTTGCTGCGCCATGATCAGTTTTCAAGGCTCCAATAAATTCTGGTTTTACTGATACAAACCCTGGAACTGAAACCTGACTTTACTGTTAGAACATGAGGAGCTCTGATGGAGCTCTACCAGTAAACTCATTACCCACAATTCATAGGAACCACGATCACGTCAGGTGATTTCACAGCAGCACCTGTTGGGCTGATGTGGTGCAGCATCAGATACAGAACCCCCTTAGCCTACAGCTGAGCTGAGTATTTGTGTTTAAAGGCCCAGTGTGTGATATTTGTATCAGTTTACTATCAAATCCCGTGTTTTCAGTTCACAAACGTGTCGTTTTTTACTAATATTTCTCACCAACATCAATTCTAAATATTCCTCTCAACTTGAAATTATACATTTTTATATACATAAACTGTTGTCGACGCTCCATGGTCATCCACCATCTTAAAATACAGTAGCTGTTTAGGGACATACGAGCTCCACGTTACCCATTTGCACTGACTGAAACCTGAAAGAACCAGCAGAGGGCAGCAGTGTGCCCTGGAAGCATGGAGTCTGCTAATTCAACTAAGAAGTATAAAATAATAGCTATATCGTTGCTGTAATTGTTAGTTTGCATTATAAACAATTAAATCAAAAGACACAAAAAATTAGTCAGTTCCTCATCATGTCCAACACAAGGAAGCTGCATATGTTCAGTAACGCCCATCACACCAGCCGTGAGCCACAATTAGCTGGTGGATAAGTCAACATCGTTTACTTGATCTCCAGCGTGTCCCCGGCTCACCAACACTCCTTCACCAGCCGTGGTTAACGATCAGCCAGTGATCGCTCCACATCCATATAAGCTGGTAGCGGCAGCCAGTTTGTTTATGTAACCCACTTTTGTGGGACTTTTATTTTGAAGGTGCTGCTGACAGGATGTGATGTTTGAAAAGAGAAAAAAAACAGAAGTTGGAGCAGAGTTGTTAATGGTGCCGTTAAATAAAGCGACCCTGAGAGTTCATGGTTATTAACCTTTTCATGAGCAACCACAACCCTATATCTTCTCCCGTCTCTTTCTGGAATGCTCGGTTACATTGGTGGCAGCTGTGGGATTGTGTCAGTGCCGAAGCCCAGCTATTTTCCAGTGACAGTAACTGAGTCCGTTAGCTTGTTGAAGTTAGCCTCTGCTAACTCGCGGTTAGCTTAGCTGTACCAGTATAGATAGGATGTACAATGATACGTTTACTGGTAGGAAGTGGTTGAATCTCCAGGAATTATGTGGGGACGTGATGAAGACCCGCTGGAGTACAGGCTCTCCCGCCCGGACAAACCACGCACTAGCAGCGTGAACATTGAGCTTCCGCCGGTGTTCTCTGGAGAGGATGGGGAGAGTTTCTCTTGCTGGTCTTGTCAATATGAAGTGGCGGTGAGAGCACTAGTAGAGGGTGCCGAGAGTGCATATGACTGTTAACTGGCTTGATTCCTGCCCACCAGAGTGTCCAAAGCCGCGTTCCTTCTGTGGGACAGTTTACCTGCGGCAGTGCAAGCAGACTACAATGCGGTGAAGGAACGGCTGCAGGAAGCCTTCAGACAGCGACATTTTCTGGACAATTTCAGAGCTAACTTGGCTGCTCATTGTCGCGCCGCTGGTGAAAGTCTAGATGTCTATGCGGCTGATGTAGGGAAGCTGGTGGAGGAAGCTTTCCCTAATTATGGACAAGCTGCTCAGAGGGAAGAAAAGTTTCGCCAATTCCTGGCAGGACTAGATACCTGCCTCTGAGCTAAATGTCAGGAACAGGGAGCGACTGATTTGGAGGAAGCCTTAATCATTGCAGGCCGCTGTGATGTAGCACGTGAAACTTTAAAGATTGAATACCCCCATCCTGCTGGGGGGGCTCCTCCCAGTAAGAGTGCAACTGCCTTAGTGCATTCTGTTTCGGAGGAACCTCGCTGGCAACGAGTAGTGGAATAGCTGACCGAGGAGATGAAGGAAATGAGAAAAGACCTTCGAAGGCGGTCATATGAGAACGAGAGACTGAAGGGTCGAGAGAGGAGCAACGACTGTTCCTCCCCCCGGCTGGAATCATGTCGGTGCCACTGTGGGGGTCCGGGCTGCCTATCTCTGCGTCCCAAGTATAACCCACATCATCAGCCAAATACTCCAAATTGGCGAGAGCGCCGCACCGACCAGGACGCCGGATCAAGAAGACGCTCTCCAACTCCTTACGCTGATCGTTCCAGTTCGCCGAGGGGCCAGAGTCCAGGATGGCGGAAGGACACCCCACCTGGTGGTTCAACAAGACGACAAGGAGTGAGATTCCTCTCTCCAGGGCGAGAGGAGCCTGTGCAGCAGTGGGGAAATGGGATGTACCTGTTGTCATGGCCCGGACACCAGCTACGATACCTACAGGGCCTTGGGAAGAAGATGTTGATCTACCACACTGGGAGCACATGGTAAATTGTTCCCCAGCGGGGGAACCATGTTCATCCTACGTGCGAGGGAGCATTGCAGGTACTGAACTGAACATTCTGATTGACTCAGGTTCCACGGAATCGTTCATCAGTGCAGATTTTAGCCAGTCTATTCCAGCTCTCCGCCAACGACCGCTCAGCATGAATATTATCGCGGCCAAGGCCGTAAATGGGGAGTTACTGGATACATTAGGGACGGTTACTGCTACCTTACGGTTGGGCTCTCAGTCGTGGCAACATGTTTTTCATGTGCTCCGTAAGTCTACCCAGACAGCTCTGTTGGGTCTGGATTTTCTGACATCACACCACGCACTAGTGGATTTTGGCTGTGGTAGATTGCAGTTGTGGGGTATGGATGTGAAGTTGCTGAAACAGGAGGATCTGATTCCAACCTGCTGCAATGTGTCTCTTACGTCCCCCCTAACATTACCGCCATTTAGTGAGATGCTGGTCCCAGTACACGTCTCTCCTGCGGGGCCAGTTGGACAACTCCTCACGTTCGTCGATACCTAGAACCCAATCTTCAAAGTAAGAGTGAGTGTGTGGTGGCTCATACTCTCGCTTCGGTAGACAAAGGCATTACTACGGCTCGACTGCTTAATCCTACCAGCCAAGACATGACGCTACGAGAAGGTACACATCTTGGTGAGTTATTTTCTGTAGAGGAGTGGGATGTAGTGACCCCCTTCCAGAAACGGTGCCTTCCGCGGTACTGACAGACCCCCCGTGTCGCTGATGGATTCTGCTGCCAGCCCGTTACAAATGGGACAGCTGGAAGCACTGCTAACTGAATATGGAGATATTTTTAGCCAATCTAGAGCAGTGACAGTGAAGTGCACCCTTATTAAATACAGCATTAACACCAGTGACCATCCCCCCTTGAAACAGCGGGCTTACCGGACCTCGCCTGACAAGAGGGAGGAAATAAACAGACAGGTAACCACCCTGCTGGCAGATGGGGTGATTGAAGAGAGTTGTAGCCCCTGGGCTTCTCCGGTTGTTTTGGTGAAAAATAAAAGAACGGTGACTGGAGATTCTGTATCGACTATCGAAGGTTGAACAGTGTCACTGTAAAAGATTGCCATCCTTTGCCTCGGGTGGATGATACGCTAGATGCTTTGACCGGGTCCCGTTGGTTTAGTACTTTGGACTTTTCCATTGGTTACTGGCAGATTGATGTGGCCGAGGAGGACCGCCCAAAAACTGCTTTCACTACTGAGCGGGGCCTGTACCAGTGGAAGTCTATGCCTATGGGTCTCACTAACGCACCTGCCACCTTCCAGCGCATGATGGAGATGGTTCTGCGGGGGCTCCCGTGGCACATGTGTATGGTGTATTTAGATGATGTGTTGATATTTAGCCCTACGTTCGAAGAGCATGTAGCCAGGTTGCGAGAGGTGTTCTCTCGAATCCGAGCTGCAGGTCTGAGGCTTAACCATCGTAAATGCCACTTGGCCAGAGATCATGTGGTATTTTTGGGCCATGTAGTTTCCTGTCACGGACTACAGCCAGACCCCAGAAACACGGACAAGGTGAAAACCTGGCCCACGCCACAGTCGCCCACTGAGGTGAGGGCTTTTCTCAGTTTATGCTCTTACTATCGACAATTTGTCAAAGACTTTGCTCATCGTGCTGCTCCACTGCATCATTTAACATGTAAAGGTGTTTCATTTGAATGGAACGAGGACTGTGATGTGGCCTTTGAGTATTTAAAGACAGTGCTCTCGTCAGCCCCGGTGGTGGCCATGCCGGACTTACTGTTCCTTTTAAAGTGTACACGGACGCCTCTATGGAAGCTGTAGGAGCGGTGTTGGCTCAGGATCATGGTGGGCTTGAAAGAGTAGTGATGTATGCTAGCCAGTCGTTGACTAGCACCCAGAAACGCTGGTCCACGTTTGACAAAGAGCTGTGGGCGGTGGTATGGGCCACTCGACAGTTCAGACACTACCTCGGGTCCGCCACCTTCACCATAATAACGGACCACAAACTGCTATTGGGGCTTCGAGGTTTGGCCATTGATAAAGATCCGTCGGGGAAGAGAGCTTGATGGATCCTGGAGTTGGATCCTTACAACTGGGTGTTGCAGCACAAACAGGGCCAACAACATACAAATGCGGATGCGCTCTCAAGGCGCCCCAATCGGGATGTGGACAGTGCTACTGCAGTAGGGAATGTGGTGGACACACCTTTCCAGTCCAATGTCTCGGGTCCACCGTGCTTGGTCCCCGGACACGCTGAGTCTAAGGATGAAGGCCCGGGGGCCTTAGTGCAACAGCGGAATGACCCCGATATCAGGGTGGTGCTAAACTGGTTGGAACAGGGAGGCTCTCGTCCAGCCCGGGGACAAGTGAGGGGTGGCTCCCAGTGGCTCCGAAAGCTGTGGACTGAGTTCCAGAGGCTGTCATTGGTGAATGGATTGTTGTGCCAAACTGTGAACTCTTCTCCAGTAGGGAAAGCACTGTATCAGGTGGTCGTACCTGCATTCCTGGTCCCTGACATTTTGTATCAGTTGCACGGCGGTC